AAATGCTTTTGAAAAAGGGAGATGATTGATTTTTTTCCATATTGCAATTATGATGGTAATTAATTTGGGACCCTTGAAATGATAATGAGGTTAAACTACTTTTTAAAGTAAACTTTCTGAACTCTGAGCAACAGCACCTAAGGAACATCAGACTGTAATAAAATTGTCTTGTTCAGCCTTGATTCAGTAGAGGATATTCACTGAGATAGTAGCCATTTTGTCAACAGATCAGGCCGCCTGTCTCCAATGGAGGCAGGAGAAAGATGAGTCTTTTAAAAGATTCATTTCTGCAATGGCAGAAAGATGTCAACATAACCTGTCTATTGTCTTATTACAGCTTTCCTCCAGAGCTTTGGTATTCCATTTCTGTAAACCATTTTATTTCCAACGGGCACAACTAACTGTTCGTCTCACAATAACTTTTTTTATTTCAGCTCTCAAAGACACTTTAGTTTTGAGAGTCTTGATAAAATAAAATAAAAAGTTATTGTAGAGAGAACATTTAGTATGCCCACTGGAAATAAAATGGCAATTGCGCCTCTAGTCTGTGTCCCACATCTTATCTCCCAAAGTTAATAATAACTAAAGGCTTTTAGTATATGTAGCTCTTACAGTGATAGTAATTTCTTTCCCCTCATATCTCACATTTTTCCTTGACAGATTTCAGTTGTCTTGAAATGATTTTTATTTTCAACCTCCAGCATATGACAGCTCTCTTTTATCGCTTGAAGCTTCATTTCAAATGCCAGACCCAATTTTATGCCTAAATGTTCTTTGTCATTTTTTAAAGTAGCATTTTCATCTAGATTACTACTATTTATGATTTATAGCAGTGGTACTCAAAATTTTTACCCTTGGGACCCCTTTTCCATCTACATGTGGACATCACACACACACACACAATTCAATATAGTATATGAATGAAAATATTTTGTTCATTTATTGTGCGTATTTTCATTTGCACATTCATGTATATCCATATTTTAACATTTTATATGGAAACAATGTTTAAATCAGAACAGTTTTATTTAAGTAAATTTAATTTTAACTCAATGCATGTGTAAATTTTACACTTAAAATCATTTGGCAAGTCTCATGCCCCCCTTGAGCAATCCTTCTGGGTGTCTTGCTCAGGGTGATGTCCTGAGGTCTGGGAGGAATTCCAAAAAGTCCACTATTTTGAGCCATAAAACCTGTCCTTGTGTCATCCAGTACCTCTTGCTTAACAGATTTATTACTACCCCAGCTTCTGCAAAGGGCTGCAGAGAAGATTGTCATTGGATAACTATTGAAGTTGAATATGAGTCAACAATGTGATGCGGCAGTTAAAAAGGCCAATGTGATTCTAGGCTGCATCAATAGAAGTATAGATCAAGGGACGTAATAGTACCACTCCATTCTGCTTTGGTCAGGTCTCACCTGGAATACTCTGTCCAATTCTGGGCACCACAATTCAAAAATGATGTTGACATTTTGGAGCGTGTCCAAAGGAGGACAACCAAAATGGTGAAGGGTCTGGAAACCATGCCCTATGAGGAGAGACTTAGGGATCTGGGTATGTTTAGCTTGAAGAAGAAAAGATTAAGAGGTGTATGATAGCCCTGTTTAAATATTTGAAGGGGAGCAAGCTTGTTTTCTGCTGCTGCAGAGAATAGGACCTGGAGCCATGGATGCAAACTACAGGAAAGAGATTCCAGCTCAACATTAGGAGGAACTTCCTGACAGTGAAAGCTGTTTGACGGTGGAACACAATCCCTCAGAGAGTGGTGGAGTCTCCTTCTTTGGAGGTCTAAACAGAGGCTAGATGGCCATCTGTCAGGGGTGCTTTGATTGTGAATTCCTGCATGGCAGGGGGTTGGACTGGATGGCCCTTGTGGTCTCTTCCAACTCTATGATTGGAACTCCATGTGGTGATTTTGTCAGTGGGGTCCCTAGGGTTGGTGTCACCTGGTTCGGTAACTTAAGGCGTTACCCCTCCATTTACCTCCTCCCATTACCACACCATACAGACTCCTTGGGAATGTTTTTTGTACTAATGTTACTCATAAATCATAATTATCATATATCACTGAATCTAATGGTGGTAATAGTTGTGACATAAACAGCTAGCAAAATTTAAATTATACCTTTAAATTACAATATCACACATACTACTCGAATGTATTTACATAAGCATTGTTCCATGTGGTTAAAGTGAAAATTTAGTAAAATGTGATGTTTTTAAATAAAATTTTAAAAGAATAAAAAATATTTTAAAAATTAAAATTAAAAATTTTGAAAATTGAAATTTTAGGGTTTTTTAAAAAAAAATCTGGGACCTCTCTTCTCACTGAGCCTCACCACACTCATACCATCTCTTATAGCATTTTAAAAGAGAAGAAAAATGTGATGCATATCATCTACATGCCAAAGGAAGCAAGGTTCACCAGGATATGGCACCATTGGATAACTATTGAAGCCAACCCCGCCCCCCCAATATAACTATTGCCAGCATTCTTTAATTTTTCCTAATTGTGGTGTGATATGGTTATGGTTTTTTATGCAGTAAAAGAAAATTCCGTAAAGGCTGCATCCACACTGCAGAAATAATCCGGTCTGACACAACTTTAACTGTCATGGCTCAATGCTATAGAAGTCTGGAAATTGAAATTTTGTGAGACATTTAGTCTTTTCTATCAAAGAGCACTGGTACCCAAGAACCTACAATTCCCAGAATTCCATAGCATTGAACCATGGCAGTTAAAATTGTGTCAGACTGGATTATTTCTGCAGTGTGAATGCAGACACAGTGGAGTTGAAGTAGAACAGTTTCAATTCCAACTCTTCTTTTGATGAGCTCTTCAATAATTTGGCTTATAATTCAAGCCCAACACTGAGAGGAAGAGAGCTCAGCTGACAGCTAGAGCTACTTCCATTTTACTTCCCCAACAATGCATCTTGATCACATCCCAAAGTAGCATCACTCTGTGTTGCTGGTTTTGATTTTGCATCAGGAGACATAATTATAGAGGAATAGCGACAGAGTCACAGCTACATCTCCTGATGTGATCCACTGCAAAATGTACCTTTCAAGCTGCACAGAACTCTGCCCCCAACATGGCCATTTCTGAGTTGCTGGAGTGATGATGCATCCTGACCTCTTCCAGTAGCTGGCTATGCTGTGGCAGGCAGCTTGGTCCCTACATATACCTGTCATTGTTCATCATTCCCCGTCTTGCCTCCAGCAACTCAGAAATGACTGTGTTAGATGGGATAGTGGTCCTTGAAAAAATAAGTACAAAGGAAGATTGGAAAGAGAAATAACAGAATTGGAATGCATCCAGAAACTACAGTCAATCAGCAGTGAGTTGAACAGAAAGAATGATTTCTTGGCACACTACACACACTTCAACACTATCTAACTGCTCACCCCCCATCCTCATGAGGACACCCTTGACCAGTTCATCACATCTTCTCTCTAGTTCTCGCACTATGTTTCAATACTCATTTATATGGTGATCTACTCACTTTGGTTTTAGGCAACATCCTTTGTCCCCCAATTGTTAAAACTGAACTTGTAACCTCATCTCCATATCCATAAAGTTTTGAATTTTAATTGACATTCACATACATATTAGACTTATATGTCTCTGGAGTCTCCACTCCACCTCATGCATCTGAGGAAATAGGCTCAAGTCTACCAAAGCTCATGCTGACAGCTTCTTTCATTCAGTTAGTCTCAAAGGTGCTATAAGATCCCTTTGCATACTGTTCTTATGTGTTCTACTAAGACTCCCAGGTCCCTTTCACATGTAATGTTGTCAAGCCAGATATTTCCCATCATCTCTCTCTCGCTCTCTCTCTCTCGCTCTTTCTCTCTCTCTCTCTGTTGTGTACCTTCAAGTCATTTCCAACTTATGGCAACCCTAAGGTGAACCTATCATGGGGTTTTCTTGCCAAGGTTTGTTCAGAGGAGGTTTGCTGTTGGCATCCTCTGATATCTGTACATTTCATTTATAGTGTAATAACTTGCATTTCTCCCTGTTGAAATTAATTTTGTTGGTTCTGTCCTAGCTCTCTAATCTGTTGAGGTCATTTTGAATTCTGGTCCTGTCCACTTGAGTATTAGCTACACCTCCTAATTTTGTGTCATCTGCAAATTTGAACAGTATGCCCCCTATTCCACCATCAAATTCATTTATAAAGATGTTAAACAACACCCAGCTCACACCTATTAGTTTCAATTTTATATTTAAATCTCACTGATTACAGAACTAATATGATGGTATCCCTTACCACTGGAAGAAAGGTGAGTAATGAAAGTGGAAATAAACTTATTCAATATGCTGCAAGGAAAACATAGCTTTGTTGCATTACTACTTTAGATATGGCAATAAGATTGAAGGAAATCTGAAAATAAAATCTTTTCTAAAATGAAAGACCAGGTACAACAAACTGAGATTTTATTTATGTATGTGTAAAACCAAGGATTCCATTAGAGTCAAGTCCCTCCATTCATATTAAAATGTATTATCCGAATCCAGACGCTATGGGCTTGGAGGCACTGCAGAAATACTTTGAAGAAGATAAATTTAAAAAAAACTATAGTTGTTGATCCAAATTGTAGAAGCTGTGATGTGTCTGCATGCATAACAGCCTGCTTTAGGCATTCTAATGATTGTGGTAAGTGTAGTTTCCATTTCTTGCCTACTGTGGTTGATTTCCCACTTCAAAGAACCATAGGGTTGGAAGGACTGCAAGAGCCATATAGTCCAATCCCTCTATTTAAAGAACTCCAAAGAAGCAGAATCCACCACACTTCAAGGTAGTCTATTCCACTATGGAACAGTTCTTAATGTCTGACAGTGAAATTGACTGCCTTGGAGAATGGTGGACTTTTTGGTAAATTTGGAAAAGATGGAGATATGAAGGAAGACTCCTGGGAAGCTGAAGCAGATTTTGAATGAGGATCAGACTTTAAAAGAGTAGAGTCTAGTATTAAATACCTCTGGAGGCAAAGGGACATGGTGGATCAGTGGTTAAGACACCAACTCTGACAACTGCTGTTTTTGCTTAGGTAAGTGCTTTTTCAAAAAGTGTACTTTAAAATCTGTACCCTATGTGAAGAGAGCCAGTATAGTGCTGTGGTTTGAGCATTGGATTACTACTGTGGAGACCAGGGTTCAAATCCTTGCTTGGCCATAGAAACCCACTAACATTGAGTAAGTCACACTCCTTCAGCCTCAAAGGAGGCAAAGGCAATCCCTCTCTGAACAAATCTTGCCAAGAAAACACTGTGATAGTGTCACCATAAGTCAGAAACAACTTGAAGGCACACAACAGAAACAACCACCTCATGTGAAAATAAAATAAAGAGAAAAAAAATCTCTCTTGGCACCAATAGAGGGATTTTTTGATTGTTAAAGTACCCCCTCTCTGTATATGTATGCTTAATGACCACAAAGGATCTACATAAATTTAACCTAGACAATGGACGTTATCACACGGGGTCTAAAGCAGTGCCATCCCCGGCGCATTGCGGTATCATTCCGGATCCTTTTTTCGTGTGTTCACACTACGTCGCAGCAAACCCCGCCCCATCCAGTGCCATCCCCGGCGCATTGCGGCATCATTCCGGATCCTTTTTTCGTGTGTTCACACTGTCGCAGCAAACCCTGCCCCATCCAGTGCCATCCCCAGTGCATTGTGGCATCATTTCGGATCCTTTTTTTCGTGTGTTCACACGACCTCACAGCAAACCCCACCCCATCCCATCCCCGGCACATTGCGGCATCATCCCCATTCTTTTCAATTCCTTTTTGAAAAAGGAATTACACTTGCCGTGACCAGAATCAATCAAGAATCATACCAGAATGATGCTGTTTTCTTGTGGGGTCCATTCCGGTATGGTTCTGGATTGATTCCATGCCACTTTCTTGCCGCTTTGAGACCCCGTGTGTGATAACGTCTAATGAAGAAATAGAAATAGTAAAAGAGTTCTCATACCTTGGATCAAACATTGATTACAATGTGGACTACTCTCAAGAAATCAGAAGTAGACTAAGAATGGGGATGGGTAGTCATGAAGGAACTAGAAAAGATCCTAAAGAGCAAAGATATATAGATAAGCATGAAAGTGAGAACTGTACAAGCAATTGTATTCCCTATTACCGTGTGTGGATGCAAGAGCTGAATAATTAAGAAAGCGAATAAGAAAATCAATTCATTTGAGATGTGGTGCTGGAGAAGAGTGCTGAGGATACCATGGACAGCCAAAAGGACAAACAAGTGGATCCTAGAACAAATAAAGCCTGAAATCTCCCTGGAAGCCAAGATGATCAAACTGAGGCTGACATATTTTGGCCACATCATGAGAAGGCATGACTCATTTGAAAAGACAATAATGTTAGGAAAGGTAGAGGGAAGTTGAAAGAAAGGAAGCCCACATGCTAGATGGATGGACTCAATTAGGGAGATTACAGGTGTGAATTTACAGGATCTAAGCAGAGTAATGGAGGATAGGGAGTCTTGGAGATGTTTCATCAATAGGGTTGCCATGAGTTCAGATCAACTCAAAGGCAGTTAACAACAACAAATGTACAGAGAGAGAGAGAGTATGTGTCCTGGCAGGGAAATGTTTGATAATTTCAAATGTCTCCCTGCCAGCCCTGTTCCTGATCCAGAATATGCCACTCATACTTAATCTAAATTTAAAAGGGAGTACAGTGGGTCCTTATTATCTACTGGGGTTTGGTTCCAGGACCCCCCATGGATAACAAAATCTGTGGATGCTCAAGTCCCATTAAATACAATGCCATAATAAAATGGTGTCCCTCATATAAAATAGAAAATCAAAGTTTGCTATTTTATATATATTCAAACATGGTACATGTTTGAATATATATATTCAATATATATATTCACAATACATGGTAAATGTAGTATATAGTTTGAAGTTGAACCATGTCCAGTGTGGCTCCCATGCCCGGGAGGCAGTAAATTCACTCCAGGCTTTAGTATGAAAATTAAAGGAGCTGTCCAAGGTGCTGAATTGATGGATTGCTCCTTTAAAACTTAGACTGACACCAAAGTAGAGTCACCATCCCACTGATGTGGAAGCTACTAGTTACCACCAATTAGGCCACACCAAGAGTTTGCTCTACCACAGCTGCACTTACTCTTCCTCTGCCATTCTACAGCCATGACATTTCACCAGCAGGGAGGATCACAGCTTTCTATGTTCTGTGTGTTGCCAGGAAATGTAGAGTATAAAAGGATTCTTTCTTTCTTTTTGAGAAGCAGGACAAATTTTATAACATGGCAAGGTCTCTTCTGTGTATCAGCCTGGTAGGAAGCAGGAAGCACTATTGCTACAATTATAAAAATCCCCCAACCCTATTGTAATGGCCATCAACCTCTGTGAGCAATGGAGACATGTTCTCCCATTAATTGGGATGCAGAATACTAACATTTCCATCCCCTTGTGCCAGTGATTTCAAGTGCCAGGAGGAAGTGCAACATGGATCCTGCTTCTGATTGTCACACTAGAGATTGCTGATGGAAGGGGGATGGAAATGTCAGTTTGCTGAGCCCATTCAACAGGAGAACAGAGTTCCATCACTTGCAATGGCTGAAGGGGAGGGGGGAACAGGAGACACCACTTACTTAAGTATACTTAGCTTCAGTGGATCTACAGTGCATGCTTCCATCTCACTTTTTAGCATTTGGAGTTCATCTTCATATGGCTCTTCATTCTGTGTGTCCTTCATTTTGTCATCTCTTTTATATACATCTATGTATTGCATACCACTTCTTTTTATCCTTTCCTGGTCTTGAATTATGTTATTTTTATTGTCATAGAGTGCCCTGGT